ATCCTTCAGAGGGCCATGGGGCTGGCCTCCCGGCTGTCATTCAAACACACACACCCCCACTCCATCCCCACAGATGACCCGGGGAATCTTCACCAAGATCATAGAGGAGATCGACCGGGTGGACAACTCCTACGGCGCCGAGCGCAGCTGCCTCCTGATGTGAGCGCTGCTGCCCCGAGCTTCCTGCGGGGACAGGGAGAGTGGCCGCCTCCCTGCCTCTACCTAGAAGTTTCCTCGCAGCCCCGGGAGCGGGGAACCCAGGGCTAGATGCCACCAGAGCCCCCTGGCCTGGCGTTGTTACGGGTAACCCACAAACACACTGTACCTCACTGCCTGGCCCCGCGCCCCACGGCGGGCAGGGCCTGCGTTTGCACATTCCCAGGTTGGAAGCAGCCCGTGTGTATCCAGCGCACTGCGTTTATGGAAGGGGCTCCTCTTGCCGAATGTATTTATGGGAGGGGGGTTTGGGCGGGGGGGGGGGGAGAGCTTTGGATATTTATAGCCGATGTCTAAGCCTGCACGCACATGTTTACAGCAGTCTCTGCCCCGGTCCCCAGCATGGGCCCAGTTCCCCTTGGCTGCGGGACTCCCTTTTTTTTTCTAATGCTGCTGGAACCGGAATCTGTTTTACAGTCCTTCCAAGACCTGGTCTGGTCTCAATTTGGCTGTGCCAGCGGCGGCAGCCGAACCCTGATCCGGCCAGGGTTCCGCCCACCCTCCTGACTCGCCATCTGCTGCCTTAGTTCTCCTTAAAACCAAGAAACGGTTGTGAATTTCAGGCCGCAAAGGGGATTTGAATATGGATTCTTTTCTGATGTCGGAGTCTCTTCCCCAAGCCCTCTTGACAGGGCCACACTCATGGGTGGGAGCTGGGGTGGGGGTGGCTAGATCAATTAAACTTTGTTTTGTATGCAAAAAGAATTTCCTGGAGTCTCTGTGCTCAGGGTCTGAGAGCGAGATGGGGGGTTGGGGAACATGGGGAATGTTCGCCGAAGCTGGTCAGCACTCTGAGACCGTGGTGCTGGGTGCTGTATATAAAACCTTAGAGTAGTCGGGGGAGGGGGAAATAATTGGTGGTGTGCTTCACCCACCATCTCAGAGCAGCTGCAAAAAAGATGGGCAATGGAATAGTGTTATCATTAGGTTTCAGAGTCAACATCCACTGGGCTTGGATTAACACTCTGCATGCACATAGCCCTGTCAGCGGATCTTAGTGCTTTGGAAGAACGGAGCCAGCCCTTGGAGGGGTAGGTCAGAATTATTTCTGGTTTGGGGGAAACTGAGTTAGAAGGAGTAAGTGACCTGCTTGGGAACATGCTGCCTAGGTTGGAACCGAGGTGTCCTGGGGCCCCGGCTCTGCCTCCGCTTGGCTGAAGAGCGAAGGGAAGGCATGGCTCTCCCCCATTCACGCTGTTGGGTCACTGAACCCCAGTGCCGTGACGAGGTGTAAAGGAGCAGGCAGAGCCTCTGCTGTGGGGGGCACCTTGTCTCTGCACTGCTAAAGGGGGGCTGGGCAGCGACACTATCTCGGGGTCTCACAGGATTGGCCCCATTTGGCCTGGCTGCTTTTCGCTGCGACTCTTTGTGATTGGGGTTGGAGGGTCTCGGCTCCGGGGATTGTGGACACTGGTGTAGACAGAGCCCTGGTGGCTGCACAGGAGACACCCCCCCCCTTGTGTGGTGCGCTGGGGGGTCTGGCCAAGGTGGC